CCCCAGGAACCGGTACAAAAGGTTCCTGGTCACCAGCCTAGGTTTTTTTTAGGTTGTTGGAGGCGAGGGAGAGAGACTAGGTTTGGGATGGTCGGTATGGAGGAGTTGGTAGGTTCGGGATGACCGGGAGATCCAGTTGCCATACTAAGAAATAATTGGACACCATTTATTTCAGGTTGTTTTGAACGTTGACCGATTCCATAAATTCTGTGCCGTGTATTACTTTTTAATTTTTTTAATTGTTTTATTTATAATTTTGTGTGTTTAATAAAAGGAAAATATTTAAATGTAAAAAATCTAATTTATTTATTTCGCACCTCAATTTTGATATATACTTCGAGAAAATACATTTCAAATAAATAATAAAAAAACAATTATGAAGTAAAATAAAATTAAAATAAATATACACGTACAATTGTTTTGTAAATAATTTTATTTTTTAAAAAATAGAATAAATTTAAATGTATCCTATAGTAGTCCTTATATTTGATAAACCTGACTCCAGGTTAATTCGATGGAACTCTTTGGACTATTACTTTTGAAGATGATTGAACGAGGTAATAAAGAGAAAGACTCAACCTTAAAACTTGAACCTGATTGAACTTAAAAATCAATGTTCTATCTGCATCTTCCAGAAGAACTCTTACTCGAATGTGTGGCTGCAGCACGCCTATAACTTATAATAGGGATGATGCTCGGTTTCTTAGCTCTAGAGATCCGAGATAACGACCTATAAAACACAAAATGAATCAGGTTAATTGGTAGCAAACTAATAATGTCTTCAAGGGTGGATATCCCCTCTGCTCAACGAGGTGGCCCAAAGTCCATAAACATGAGCTGGGCTTGTGGTTTGCATAGGTTAATTCACGTTCTAAAGCAAGCCTCTACGTTCTTTTTGTTGTGAGTCATGCTACAATACACGCACATGTAGCCACGAATCCAATTTTTCACGAGCGCATAAAATTGACCGACTCATTTCGATCGGGAGAAATATTGAATCATCGATATTTTAGTTGATTAATTAACAGTGCAAGATTCGCTCTTCTTGATTCTAATATCCGACCCTCAAAACTAACAAGGAGATAGTATAAGAATATTCACCTTTGTCCATCGACAATGCCTTTCGACCTAATCTTAGGCCATTCATCTATGCAAGTGGTTCTTGTTTCTCCTTATTCTTGTTCCTAACTCTTCTCCCAATAAAAATATGTATCTTATCTATTGAACTATGTTCAAATTGGTCCGGAGTCGTATAGAACTTTATAGCATTATGCACACAAATATTTCACTCAACCATGGTCTAGTTTTCAACGGTCGAGATTCAATTCAAATTAAACTATTTTATATTTTATTAAATTCTATATTTGATTCCGTCAAATTTGTCATCAAATCTGAATTATTTTATGATTTTAATTCACTTTTAAAATAATATCCATTAAAAATAAACCCCCAAATAAACTGCTGGTAGAAAAAACAAAATATTCGGTAAGCAATAATTTAAATATTTAAATAAAAAAAAGTAGATTAAAATTAAAATTGACGTATCCACGCTCTAATATCGACACGTCAGACTCTATTTTCCATGTAATCTCTTTCAAATCTCTCTATCTAATCAATTTTCTCTTTTTTCCCCTCATCACCAACTTGCTATATATATTATTTTAAAATAAATATTAAATTACTTCATTTAAAATTCACCACGACAAACATAATAAGAGAAAACTCAAAAGGAGACAATGTCTGTTAGCAGTAGGCTTGAGCTATTACAAATAGTATTAGAGCGAGACACTAGACGGTGCACCTTTTTCTAGTAGACACATTTTAAAACTTGAAGGTCAGACAAGCTCAAATA